TGGTCTACAAATTCTGCTTTTGCTCTCCCTAACTAAAACCAGACAGATGGAGCAAATTTTGGAAATCATGTGAAAACCAGTACATCTGCGGTAGGGAATTTGGAACAGAATATATTGGAAAAAAAAAAACAACAGAATTTACCAAAACCTAAGATTGAAACTAGTGCGCGAATAGGCGGCCTCCCAGTGTGAGTTTTCTCCCAGTACAGACAGCATATGCAATAGGGTCCAAGCTAGACTCATTCCTGGGGTTTGGCTTTACTCAAAAGAAATCAACGCTAAGGTAGCAAAGCTTAGCTCAGGTCTGTTCTCCAGACAGACTTGTAGGGTTTGAGTGTTTGCCACAAGTCTTTCCTTTCTAGACCCTTTGCTGTCTCATAGCCACATGAAGCCCTGAGCCTCAGTGAGTGGCCATCATCCAGTCCTCATCTGTAATGGAAGGGAGAGAGAACTGCGTTCGACCCAGCTGGCATGCACTGAAAACTTGATAGATAGTCTTAGGAAAAGAATTGCAAAACAGAAGGAACGCTTCCCACTATTGCTCCACTCTATCCCAGAAGGGTGACATCTATTAATAGTGAAATATGCTGCCAACCTGTCACACTGTGGTTGTGGTTAAAATTCAGCTAAAGCACATAAACACAATTTTATGGGAGGAATAAAACTGTACAAGTGGTCCCATAAGAAGTCTTTGACCTGCTGCCTACCACCTTTCAAAGCATGCAATTCCAGTTGGGGTTGCTCTGTGCCTGGCTAATGAGGATGCTCTAAAGAGGAGGCAGAGGAGGACAGAGGGAGGTGACATAGAATCATAGAAAAGCTCAGGTTGGAAAAGACCTTCAAGATGATCAAGTCCAACCACAACCTGACCATACTACCGTAACTCTAACAACCATCCTCTAAATCATGTCCCTGAGCACCACATCCAAACAGTTTTTAAACACATCCAGGTGACTCAGCCACCTCCCTGGGGAGCTTATTCCAGAGCTTAACAACCCTTTCTGTAAAGAAGTTTTTTCTTGATATCCAATGGGACATGGGAAGAGGTGGCAGCACGGACGCCCATGGAGGTTGACAGTCAGGGGAAGGGTCGATGTGAAGGGATAAATGACTGAATGCAGTGACTGATGGCATTTTTTATTGTTAATTTGGAGTAAACTAATGTAAGCGTCTTCAGCTGTACTACAATCACACCTTCACTTTTTTTTTTTTTTTTTCAGTTCAAAAGAAAGTTTAAAACCGCTATGAAGAGTTTCAGCCCATGGTTTCCAGCCTCACTGCAAAGCATTTGGGCTTATTGTAGGGCAGAGGGTAGCTGGCCAGATAGTGAAAATGTGCTGAAGAACAGCTGTGGATTTCACAGGAAGGGGAAGTTCCCCCGCACATGACTGAGGGTTACAGCACACATTGAGAAGTACGTGTTCTCCACTGACATGCACTTCCTCATTGCGCTGATGAGACTGCGATCCCTTGATAGGATACAAAGAAAATCTGAATTCATTACTGTTTTTTTCCCTAACATATGACAGTGAAGAATGCATGGTATCTTACAAACAAAATGACCAGGCGAACAAGCACAGCTGAGAGAGTTTTGCTTAACTTATGTTAAAAGATAAAGATTACACTTACTTTGCAGTAATTGTTCACTGAGGAATCTTCTTTCAGGCTCTAAGTAATGTATTGTATTTGTCAGCGTATTATTTACTTTCACAAAGGATGGATTTTGCAGTACAAAGGTCTGCACTGGTAGATCTGCACTAGTTAAAATTCACTTGGCATTGTAAAAGCTTTAAAAAAAAAGCACTGAAAACCTGAAGCACTAAATTATGTTTCATAAGCTTTACATCCCAACATTTTAAAACAGACTGGACAACAATCTGTAGGTTGTTCAGACACTTCCAGTTCGGGGCTGAAAAGCTGCTGAGAGTATCAGCTGGGAAGCTGCAGGCTGCAGTGGAGCTCTGTGCAGCAGTACGTTGTTCTGGAAGCAGTGCTCCTGTTGAACTCTTTAATTCTCTTCCAGAAAGAAAAGCACATTTGCTGAGTATCAATCCTCCATAGTGCTACTGCTATAAATCAGAGTCTTCACGCAAGCAATGCTGACTGAGTGAACTGGCATGCCTCTACAGTATGTCTTTTATCTCAGTTCCCTGCGTTTTAACTGGGATCGCAGTACTCAATCTTATTTGCTTTCCAGTCTGTACAAGGCTCCCAAATTGTGCTATCAATTGCAGACTGCTTTGCAGTCCTGCACACCAGCCTGCCCCTTCACCTAGGAGAGGAACTGGAGAGCGAACCACTGCTTTCCAGTTGTCTAGGAGAGATCCCAAAGCTACTGCTCTGTTTCTGCCCCAGTGGGACCAGGGGATGACGTGGATGCTCATGGGGCCCAGGAAGGCAGCACCTGCTGCTGCAGAACCTGCTGCCTCTGCCATTGTGCACAAGCAAAATCCACAACCTCCGTGTCAGTTATCCTGACTCTTAGTGGCACTAATACCTGAAATCCCTCAGGAGGTGGTCTGGAAAAGAAACGACATGTCGAATTTACATTTGTGAGTTGTTCTGCCAGGAACAGTTCCTTGCTTTCCTGCCCAGCATGCCAGCAAGATTAGCACTGAACCCACAGAGAACAGCCCAGTGAGGACGCAAGTGTAATATGTACACAGAAATTAAGCACTGAGTGTACAAGGACGCTTCCTGCCCCTTACTGTTTATCCATTGCTGTTTACTCTGTCTCAAAATGCTAGATGTTGTTATGAGACATTGTTCAAATGCTGCTTGAAACCTGCTTCATAAACAGTGGAATATTTAGGAGTAAATCACTGAAGGGGCAAAAGTAATGAAGTAATTAATCAGAAACTGCAGGATTGGATTTAAGACAGACCAAATGATACCAAATTATAGGAAAAAAGGCTTTGAAGAGCAACTGCGAGTGCTCATTCCTCCAGTTACAGAATTTGTACTGCTGATGAACAGTATCAGAGGTAATTTATTCATCAAAAATAATCTTGTATATCAAGCCTTGTCTTTCTCAAGATTAACAGTAAAGTAACATTCACTGCTGAAATCCAAAGTGCTGGAAGAGTGCATTTGCAAGAACACGGAAGTCTAGCAACATGTTGTATAAAGTCACTCTATTCAGGATTGCTTAAGACAGTATTTTCTCTGCTCATTCACGTAACACAGTATCTAAACATCCGTTTGCATTTCTTTTGTTTCTGTGACAGTCATTGCCTTTTTGATATTGTCCTCAGCAAGGGAAGAAGAATCAGATTTTAGCTACAGGCTTTAGTGTTCCTTCACTGCTGTTACTATGACAGTATCCCCTGTAGCATGGGCTTACAGAGTACCAACTGTGGTTTTGAAAACAGATCATCCCTATTTATATATTTTATTTTAATAAGATGTTAGAAACATGACTATTTTACCTAACAGCTTCTTTTCTTTGAATATGTAAGACCTCTCTTTGCTGTATTACAGTATGTTGAGTAATTAATGTATTTCCCCAAACTAGAGTTCAGCTCACATAGTTCCTAATCCTGTAATTACTTATGCATGTAGTTATGAATACAAACACTTCCTTTGTAATCACATGGAGAAGGACGTGCTTAATTTATAAAGGAGTTTATAAACATGAGGGAAATCAACTTTTTACACAGGTAGCTAGTAATAGGACAAGGGGGAATGGTTTTAAATTAAAGGAGGGGGGACTTAGATGTCAAGGGGAAGTTTTTTTATTGAGAGAGCAGTAGTGCTTCAACCCTGGAGGTATTTAAGGCCAGGTTGGATGGGGCCCTGGGCAGTCTGATCTAATACTTGATCTAGCAGCTGGCAAACCTGAGTGGTGGGGAGGTTGGAACTGGATGATCCTTGAGGTCCCTTTCAAGCCAAGCCATTCTGTGATTCTATGGTGGCTCGAGGACCTTGCTGTGTAGTCCCGAATTCTAGGGATACTCCCATATTCACTAATAATAATCATCCTTTTTTTCTCCTGAATTAATACTTAAGAGCGTGTATTAACACAGAAAGTTTTGCAGTGTAGATTTTCGTGGAAGAACTTTTTTATTTTTAAGTATTATCTATCTAAAGGTAGAGAAACATTTTAAACTTCCATTCAGTAAGTCTTGATTTAGCTTTTAGTGAAGCTTTTTGTTTGTCAAGAAAAAAGAATCAAAGTATGAAATCATACTGGTTGAACTACTGACTCTGTGGCAGAATTCTCATTGGCTTCAATACAGATCAGGATTTCACTAGCACATTTAAGTACATAGAGTGAGCATGTTCTGGTTAGCATAGACTTGTAGGGTGCTCATAAAAGAACAACACAGAATCAGCCATGTAGAAATATCAGAAATTGGTTGGACTGTCACACAACTTTCTTAGCTTTCCAATCACACACATTCTCCCACTGCTCTTCCTGCTGAATAAATAAACCATAGAGAATAGCCTAGAGAACACCCACTAGTATCCATGTAGCTTTTGGGAGGTTTGCTTATAAAAATAATACATATAATAAAATCTTTTTTTTCCCTTCAATCCTTGCTCAAGCATGACCAAAGTCAAGGATGCAGAATAAACTGATCCTTCAGTTATTGTTTAGAACCTTGAAAAGAAACCACTTTTTATAAATGTTATAATCTTTGTTACTATCAGTGCTTTAATACCGAACGCTCTGATACATTCAGAACATCTCAGCTATTTCTGGTTTCACATTCTGTCTTGCACTTCATAGAGATGGCTTTCATTAATACTGAAATCAAACCAATGCTGTTTTTAGCCAGTAGCCTTCAGCCACTTTACTCCTTTTCTCCCCTTCATATGTCATTGTAAACAAATGCTGTGTCATACTTCCCCACTGCTGTCATTGCCATGCAGCATCTTTAAAAGATTCAAAAGAAACAGAAAGGCTGAACAGCAACAGGTTGGTAATAAAGCAGATGTGCAGTCTTTGGTTGAACTTGCTTGCAGTAACAAGCAGTAAGCTTGAGTTCTTTTTTCAGAATGCAGGTGGAGAGGTCATGAATGAAAATAAATTTGTGAACACAGACTCCAGCACAGGATCAGTGGAAGCAGCCGTCAAGCCGTTACCATTTAAAGATCCAAACTTCATTGTAAGTATACAAATAGTCTGAAATTCTAAAGTCTTCAAATAAAACCCTGCCTAAGTTTCTGTTTAACCACATTGCTAATATAAATATTAAGAAAGTCAGCTTTACAGCCAAATAAAAGATGGGCAGTTCTTTAGTAACTCACCTCAAGTCCATGCCACGTTATGGTCTGAAGTACACATCATATTAGAACATGAAAATGGCACTCTTTCAGAGGGAGAACTACTGTATTAAATTCTGGAACAGAACTTGCTAGATCAAGGTAGGTGCAAAAGTCTTATGGTGCAGTATCTCACAAACTAGCAGAGCTAGAAGGCACTATTTATACCACTGTACATGTAGAAATCCCACCTCCTAGTTCCTAACCTGGGGAAGCTGCAAAATAATTGAACTAAAAATCAGACACATAGTCATTAGCGGCTGGCATTTTGCTCCTCTCCTGTTCCCTGAAACTGTGACAGACCTGTGGTGTCTGCGCCTGCAGTAATTGCTAGATTTAGAAGCAAATGTTGTATGCTCCCCAGAAGCCTCTCCTTCCGGCGTTCAGAAGTCGTGTGAACCCTGACAGCTGATGAAATACAGCCTGCTAAAACAATGTGAGATTGAAATTGGGGGAGAAGTTGAAGGAAGGCTAGAGCTAGTCATGCTATCACTGCTGGGTTTGTTTTTAATATCTTGCTCTGCCAGGGCCAACTCATTGGCACAATGTACTAATGCTTTCTAGGCAAGCAAACTTCTCAGACTGCTGGTCTTAAGCCAGTACTTAGAAAGTAGGATTTTATCCCAGATTTAATTTTGTATGAATAAGAGGCAATATCCCTCAGCATAAAACCTGAGTAATCAGGCTTCACACTGCTCACTAAGCAAGGGTTTGGCAGAGGGTGTAAAATTCATCTCTGACTTGCAAGTTGCTATGTGCCTGCTTTACAGACTTCTGTCACAAGAAGAGCAGTCAAAGAAACAACTGCATTCTTGGCTCATGCTAATTCTCCAGTAAGCACTAGCATCTCTGAGAAACTGGGTTTAGTGGAAAAGCTCCATTTGTGCCCAGGAGCACTCCACATAGCTTCCCTATAGGATTTAAATTGCCTCAAGGCATGCTGAGCCTTCATTTCTTAGAGGGCCATCCCCATTTCCAAGGAGGCAATATAGAATTTTGCATGCTTGAAATTGTAATGAATGTACGGAAGCTTTAACAACTGCTTCAGCACTGATAGACACTTACAATAAAAATGTCATCATCCTGAATACAGACAATAATTTGAGAAGAAATGTATTGAGGTTTAACTGGCTTTTTATCTGTATGAACTGGTAACAACAATTTGGATGACTTTCTTCCAGCCCAGAAGACTTAAACAAAAGAAAATGAGTCAAATATCATGCATCTTTTGATGTGCTTGCTTTTTGTTGGCCTCACCCATACCCCTAAACAGGTGTTACATAGAAACGTGATAGAGATTACTCTGTAAGCATTGAACTTCTGGTTAACTGTTCAGAGGACAATGCCTCCTTTTTCTTTTCATTATGGATGAGAGAAAGACTCAAACCAGTAGCAAGACTTCGTGATTGTGGCCTGCTGATGTTGGGTGGATGCTTCCTCTCAGCTTCACTGGGTTTCAGAGCAGCCCCTAAGGGCCAGCTTCGGATATACCAGATTGCTGAAAAATAATGGCTGTGCAATGATTTGGGGCAAAAATTCATGTAATGAACTTGAATTAGGAATGTGCTGGTATATCTGTTTCCATCTCATATTGCAGCAGCCTCTATTTTCAGTGGCTGCTACTAAGGTGTTACTCTCAGAGCAACGTTTGCACGTACTTTCCGTAGATGTGCATTGCCAAAACAGATACATCAACAGCTCATGAACATTTTTTCTGAATATATCTTACATCTACGGAAAACAGCTTTCTCATTGAATCCTTTCTGCTATCATTCTCAGCAATTCAGCAGCCTAATTTATAAACTAATCACAGCAGAAGTGCATTAGCAGAAAGAACTTTGCTGAGTTTTGATGAGACTGAGGTGGCAGGTAGTAATTATTAACTGCGATAACTACAACTCCCCAATTCTGTGAACAGTTTCTGTTCTGAAGTAAAGCTGTAAATCTGTGTCCTTTGATCATTTAGAAGAAGTACAGTATATTGTGCATCTTCTGTCTCTGGAGGGGCATAAATAAATTACTTCGTATTCCATTTAGTAAGTAAAACCAGCACTATAGCACCAGCAGCAAGCCTTCTGCGAGCATAGCTTTCAAAATGCAAAATTGTCTCAGCAGCCAGTATTCCATTTATTACTCCTTTTCTATCCCTCTATCACTTGAAAGAAAAATAAAATTTCCAAAAAGCTTCTCATAGCATTCATTACATTTTGCAAGCTCAGTTATGTTTTCTGCAGTCGCGGATTACTCAGACGAGCTGGAGCTGCACCTGTACTATGCCGTAAAAAAGGGAGAGACAATTTAGCCGTGTAATCACAATTTCAGACACAAGATCATAGTATGAGTTCTAGCATGATGGGAATTGCATACAGAATCCTGTAATCTCAGGCTAAACCTAACCACATTCATTTTCTCTTTCCCTGTAAAAAGCAGATTTCCATTTCCTTCAGTTAATCCTAAACATATAGTAGCTTTGACACGGTCCAAAAAGTCTTTGTTTTTCTTGCAACTAAGATTAAAGGGCACAGTATATTAGTCTGCTGATGAAATAAGTGAGGATAACAAACGGTTCGTTACAAGATGAGACGTATCTAAAAGACTATGAAGTAGAAATATCAATGCTCTGAAATGGTATTCTTTATTTTTTCTCTGAACATCATATTTTTCATTCTAGCACTCCAGCATTGGTGGAGCAGCAGCTGGCAAGAAGAACAGAACTTGGAAGAACCTAAAACAAATTCTTGCTTCTGAAAGGGCATTGCCATGGCAACTAAATGATCCTAGCTGTAAGCTGCTTAGACGCTTTGCTTGTATTTATAAATAATAAAATCCACACAAATAACTTTTTTTTTAAATGAACCTGAACTATTTCATCAGTGAATGCAGTATCCTGCTTGAATGGGGTCCATTTCAGACTAGCCCAATCACACCAGCGCCAAGGAAAAAGTAAGGGGACAAAAATGATTTGGGGTGTTATGAAGAAGTTTGGATACATCTGGGGAGTGAGTTCTGTGTGAGAAGTGCATTTATCAGAGCCAGGTTAGAAACTTCTTGTTCCCATTGCGATTTTGTCACCTCTTCACTGCTGAGGAGCTGCCTGCATGTCTCATGAAGGTGTATCTGCACACCAGCAGCTGCTGCTTCATTAGCTCTGTTGAAACTATTTTCAAGTGAGATTCTGCCAGCCGCCTACACGTGCTAGCAGAGTCCTCAGCCCAGGCTTTCTATCCAGCTCCTATCCAGTTTCTTGGGACAATTAAGTCTTACATCTCCTACTTAGTTCAGCACAGTTCAGACAACACTATTAGCAGTCCAGATTACAGCCAGCTTGCGTAAAACCACAGGAGCAGAATTAAAGTGCTACTTTTAATCTCAGTGTACTTCAAGGCAAGTTGTAAAGTAGGATATTATTGAACTTAATTGGAGGTAGAATTTGTTCCTCAGATCTCATTCAAGCAACTAGAGGCACCTCTGAATTGGGCAGGTGCATATAGGTTTTGTCAGAATCCGTGCTCTAACCAAAACTAACTTGCCATTTTTTAAAGTGTTTTAGATGCAACTATTACAGAAGAGCATAGGCTACTGTGTGTGCCTGCCTATTGTAGCCTACAGACTGCTGATTTCTATTAGCTGTTATTTGCAACAGTAAATTTAAAGGCTTTTTTAAGAGGGTGGCAAAAGAAATTCACTTGCATATTTAAGAACAGCTGTCTGTAGAATTAATGTCTTTTGAATTATGGGACTATGATTTGATATGGATGGAGAGTTTCAATTTATCATAGCAGCCGAATGAGATGCAAAGGAGTTCAGGAAGGAGTAGAGAAATGAGCCAGGTACAAGATAGTTTTGTAAACATTGAAAATCAGCGATTCAACTACTTAGCCATGCCAGTCATATCTTAAACAGTCATATTTCATAAATGAATGAGACTTGGTATCTAAAGGGCATCAGAGAACAGCAATTTCCATCAGTTAATTTAAACATTCAGACAATTTTCTAGGTCATTGACTGGGCTTAAAGTGGTACATGCTTAAAGATTTAGCTGATTTAAAAGATTACGTTGCTTTTCTGGATTATAGCATTTCAGAGCTACAATCTTGAGCAGTGTTTCATGGTCTTAACATACAGCATGTGTGCAGTAATGGCTATCTGCTATTCTCTGCAACTGACTGCAAGGGAATTCGTTCAGACTTGGAGAAAATCGGCACATTTTAAATAGCTGTGTTGCATTTCTTTCTGCAGAAAGAAAGAAAAATGGAACAGAATGGAGTTCTGTTTACTGAACTCTTGCATTACTGAAGTGAGCAGAATCAGGCTGTTCCTTACAGCACTACCAGGCTGAATGTTTTCAGAGGTGATTCTGCTTTACGGTTCTTTGCTGCTTTAACAGATACCTCAAATCAAACCCAGTGTTTTAAATATTTGTTATCTCTTCACATTCTGGGTTTTCTTTTTAAAGTTTATGTAGTATACTGAACTTACCCTTTTTTTTTTCCCCCTAGACTTTAGTATTGACGCTCCTCCGTCCTTTAAGCCTGCAAAGAAATATTCAGACATCTCAGGACTTCCAGTAAGTATTTTATTTTTTTCTCTTCAAAATTGGCATTTGACTTTCGACAATTAAATAAACTGGTACATGCCTCTGCAAGAAACATACATGCTGAGGCTGCTGTTCAGTCTTGTGCTTAATAATTGTCCTGTGATTTAGGGCCAAACCCCAAATACTATCCCAGCATCTCCAAGTCCTCAGGATCTTACCAGATGCCAGGACAGCTTAAATACCTTGCCCTGCCAGCTGGCTCGTATCACACCACTTCCCAGCTGTGGAGTCTACACTGGTCCCCATCACTCTCAACTCTGCTTTGTTACAGTGAAAGCTGGCGGCCCATAGTCTCCATGACTTCAATTTTGCCAAGCTTTAAGCACTCACTCTGAAACTTTCCATGCTCAGTGTTTCCCTGAGTCTGGATTTTTTCATTGTATCTTTTTGGGAAAGTATCAGAAAGATGGTTAAGCAACCTCCAAGAACAAGATTATGCAAAATTTCATCGGTCTTCACAGGTTAAAAAAAAAATGTTACCATCACTCACTCACTTCCTTTCAAACACATCAGCCTGAGACTTGGGCATGAGTTTTCAAGCATTTTGAATAGCCCCATGCTGCAGTGCTGGAACTTGGAGTTTGGCAGATAAGTAGCTTGTGTGTCACAGGTAGGCTCCTTCACAAAGTTTTGTTGTTTAAAAACAAAACAAAACAAAAACCTTAATTTGACCTTAATTATGGTTTGCACATGCTCCAAAAAGTCAAGGCAGTTACAATTTGGCACCTAGATTGTTAAAAGAATCTGTTGGTACAAAACATGAATCAAGTCCCTGAATTCTGCCCAACAAACGTTTTGTATCTGCTGCTGACACTGTTCCTGTTTTACTTAAAACAGGTGCTAATAACAGTAACTTTTCACTTTGCCAATACTCAGGTTCATGTCTTTTCAGTGATTGATTATTGCAGAAGCCTATGCATTTACTACAACAGAAAGAATAGGAAAGTTGCAGTTTGGACTGTAGAAAGTATTAAGCAATGGTTATACTAAATAACTACAGCGACAAGAACTTTGTAAGTTCAAATAGCCTTAGACAGATTCTCTGGGTCCCTTCCCTCAGCTGAATTCATAGGGCAATATCCCACCTCACAGACATGATGTTACCTCATAGGGATGCCTGTAAATGGTATGTTGATGTAGGTTAACACTAAGAAGCTCCTTACAAAGTTAACAGTTCTACCTTCAGAGTGAGATTTGAGCAATGTGCATCAGCTAGGAATATTCACTGTATGGCATTGGCGCAGAGAAAACAAAGGATTAAACACATTCTCACTAAGTGGGCACCTTGCATTCTGTGTACCAAATTAGATGAAAGTCCCTGTTGGGAAAACAATGGGTGAGCACTTAATTAAGGACTGCCTGAGAGTGGATACACAGCGCAGGGGACAAAGAACAGCTGTAGAGCCAACGGTAATCCTTCACATCCTAACATTTGAGTTTTTGATTTGACAACATCTATCATCTTTGACTTTTTCAAGTAACGCATTTAGAAAAGCCTCCTAGGAGATGGCATGTTCTCAGCTCTGCCTCCAAGCATGATTTGGAAGGGAAATGAGATGCTTGGATCGAGGCTGGTAACCCAGCGTTTAAAAGGAAATGGAAAAGCAAGATCTCCCTCTTTTTCCTCTACTCTCCTCTTAGCATTGCTTTGCAAGCGGCATTCACAACAGGTGCTGTTAAAACTGCAACAGCACCTCTGCTGGGCTTAAATGGGGCAGAAGGCATAAAGGGTTAAATCCTTGCCTACCCCATGTCCAAGGAACCAACCAGTTCTTCCCAGCACCAGCCTCTGATGTGTTGCTAAGCCAGTCAGTCATTGCAGCTACAGCAAGATGATGGTGCAGGTGTAAGTGAAGAGTGTCCCTGACAGCTAAGGGGCAGGCTGGCCACTGGAAGCAGACTTCTACTCTCCAGCTTTTTTTTACTAGTTTTTCCTTTCCATCAGTGATCTACACACTATTCTATATTAACTATTGAAGCTTAATGTAAATAATCTCCATTCTCTAAGATTTCATTCAATGCTGGTTTTTTGGGGTTTTTTTTTTGTTTTTTTTTTTTCTGGCCTTTTCACTTAAAAAAAAAAATTCTATCCTCGAATTGCAGTGTGGCTCATTTCCTATTTTATGCAGCCTGTGAGGTTACTCCAGACTCTGATAAAAAAATACCATGTTTAAAAAAGGTCTTTTGTATTGAGAAAGATAACTGAGACAGTGTGTCCTCTAAATTGCTGAGCCAGAAATGTTGCCTAAGAAGCACTAAATTTATTTTAAAGATTCCTACTAGGAAGATATGTGGAGTAATAGAATATCTTAGAAATCTAGTATAAGAAAAATGTCCTGATATTTTCTATTTAAAATCTGAAAGCCTTTATATAAGATTGTATTTTGTATGGGAATGCTGGATTCCCAGTGGAGAAAAAAAAAAAAAAGTAAAATAAATTCCTTAGCATTACTCATTTAGGGAAGAATTAAATGGTCTAGCAGATACAAAAAAAAAGAGAAGTGCATTAAAATACTCTCATCAGTATATCTGCAGTAATATTAACTGCCACAATTAAATTCTATTGATTCTCTTCTCTTTCTCTGTGTAACACAAATGGAATTAAATTTACCATTGGTCTAAGCAGAGCAGCCAATTTATCTTTGTAAAGCAGCCTAGAACTCAAAAGCTATTATCTACTATATTGACATTGCAAAATAAAACTACTATTTCCAAAGTTGCAAGATGAGTATTTAGATATATTAATGTGCAAAACAAAGTAATTCAATGTAAAGCAGATTTTAAAAACTTCAAATATTTGAATGTCTCTTCCTTTCTACGATAGAAACAGATCAAGATAATTTATTGCATTTGAAGAGCATATATCTGTGGTCTTTGACTTAGCTTTGAAATACAGCGGAGTTCTGTCTGTGCAAAATCCTCTTACTTTGCTTTCCTAATACCTTGTAGTTTTTGCTGAAGCACTAGCTTAAGTTAGTGACACTTACCCTGTGTTAGTTGCCATACCACACGTACGATGTGTTAATGTGTACAAGCACTACAGCCCAATGTGAAGTATAAAAATGGTGAAGAAATGCCATAATTTTAACATTGGTTGATGCACAACACAAATTGCAGATATAGTTTGGCCAGTTTGTTACAGAGTCTTGCACTTTGGAGAAGCAGTCTGCTTGCTTAGCTTTTCTTTAGATACCTAAGGCCAAATTTAAAATGTGAAATAAAACTAAATTAACACCTGCTATGGCCATAAAGTTACCACCAGGGATAAATTTACTTCTAATGTTCTAACTTTGCCATTTGTCTGGAAATGAATTGATGGCTTGCCTGCTAGCTGCCTACGTTTAATTAACCTTATAGCATTTCTTTGTAACAAGACATGCTACAAATAACACCTCATTTTCTGCTAAGCCTTATCAGGCCAGACGATTACGTGAATTGTTCCACGCTCAACATATCCTTTCCAACGTAAAACTGGTGGAAGGCTCTGTGCTTTAACACCATAACACTTTGTGCTTTCCTGACCTTTTCTGCTTTAGTAGCAGCGTCCCAAGAGATTTCAGCTGCCTGTGCCTTACCACTAACTCCCATTGAGGAAAGGTGCACAGGACACTTGCAGGCATTGGCAGACACTTTGGAATATAATGGTAACATATTGCTGCTGTCTTGAAGGCTGAAGGTGAAGAGAGGGTACCCTGAAGCCTACCATCCTCCAGCCTGGCCTCCTGCGCTGCTCTGAGCTCATGGGAGCTCAAGGTTTTTATAGCAACAGGGAAGGGGAAAGGATGGAATGAGATTGGCACTGCTCCCAGGCACTTGAGACCCAAATACAGCAGAGGATGTGAGGCTAGCCCAGGGCTAGCTGGTCAGGCTCTATCCTGAAAACAGACATCTGCAGCAAAGCAAGGAGTGGAGTTCAAATTTCTTATCAGTTCAGTCACAGCACCATAAGCTGAGACTCCCTTGCTTTAGCAACCACTTTAAAGTAAATTAAAAGCTAAGTTGTATGGAGGAAGAGAAAAATCAGTCCAAAGCTATCCAAGCACCCAGAATTCAGCCTCTTTGTTGGGTAATTTGCTGGCAGCAGTCTGATTGTTTGGAGGGCTGCCTTGGGAGAGACTGCACAAGGCACAGAGTTGCTAGGGTGAGTTTAGAGAGCTGGGGAATTTCTTTTGCAGTGTTTTGGATGAGACTGTTCTAGCCCTCTATGATGTTTAAAGCTTTTCTAATGTGATTTTATAGGGGTTAGTTAACTCCTCATAAATTTTGACATGAGAAAGAAAGCATACAAACTTTTGGTCACGTGCTAGAATAGTGGTACTGTTACTAAAAAAAGAAAGTCCATAATTTCTGGTCTCATAATTATTTGTTTCATTAGAGTATTCTGATTTGAGATTTTATCTGAATAGTATCTTCTCCATTGTTTCTTTTTCAGGCAAATTACACAGATCCCCAGAGCAAGCTGAGATTTAGTACTATTGAAGAATTTGCCTATATTCGGATGCTCCCTTCAGATGTGGTTACAGGATACCTGGCTCTAAGGAAAGCAACGAGCATTGTTTCCTGAAAAGACCAAGTATTGCTGTGTGTCACCTCTGAATGGTGCTAGGTTTGAGAATTGTGACAGAGACTGCCTGCAGGATTGAGGTTCCTTCAAACTCTCCATTGATATTTACATCTGGAAGTTGTTTGATGACACATGGATTTGAATGAACATATGGATTTAATTCTGACAAATACTTATATTTGTTACTTTTCCATTTTGTAAGCAATTTGGTTTGGTGGCCAAGGTAACTTAAGACCTTAAGGACATGGATCGGCACCATCATGTCCAAGTTATATGTAATTTCTTTAGAGACAGGATTTCATTCCCACTCTATATATAAGGTACTGATCTGGCTCAGAAGAATAAACAGCCAGTTAAATAAAGGAAAAAGTTCCAAGACATTCCAGCTTCCAAGACCTGCCTTGCAGATGTGCTTTCCATTTGGCTATGAAGAAGCTTGTCCCACCTGTAAAAATCCAAGGTAACATACCAGCTAAGTGCTGCTATTGGGATGAATGCTTGTGGTACAGAGCACTATGAACAGCTTCACACAAATATTTGCATTGAAGAATGGTCAGCATACATAAAGGTGGACTGAAACTCATTTAAAATATCTTAATGAGTATGTATAATGGACTTAAGCCACATCACCAGGAAACTCTTAGTTGTGATGCTTGGTATTTTTTGAGTGCTTCCTTCCACAACTCAACTGTTCTGCCTCTGCTAGTTGGTTCATTATTATTACTAATTAGTATAGAAAAAGTACTTATTTCCTAGACTTTTTAGGAAAGGATGCTATAATAGCAGGAATTCCTCTGACCAGTGGCATTCTGGCACTCAGACAGTCTCCAGCTAGGCAGGACCTCCTAGATGAGGGCACTGACCTTTGCACTCTGAAGTAACAGGAGAGTATGTGAAAGCAACTGAAGGCCAGAGAAAGGAGAAGGAAGGAGAGTTCAGCCTCTTGCTGGGGGTTGACAAGTACTTGCTGACATCAGAAACAATTATGATTTTCTGAAACTAAGCCGAGGGGGGCCTGGAGGGAGAGGGAAGTGGGCAGTCCTCACTTTATCCAAGTTCCATCATGGATATCGTGACATTATGCAAGTCCCTTCTTGGAGGGCACAAGGAACACACAGTGGGGACTAGTTAATGTCTAAACTGCATCTTCAATGCACATTTCTATAGCAATGATAATTATTGGAACAGACATTTTCTCGTTGAAAGAATAAATAACGCAAGTTTAATCTCAACTCTAAAACAGGAAAAATCGCTTAACAATGGGGTACATTGTTCAGTGAATGTATGTGGGACTCATTCCTTGTTTTTTGTGATCTAATATTTACAACAACAATGTAATTTGAAAAGTCTTTGACATGCTTACAATAGATCTGTCAAAGATCTGGATACCAGATAATGCTGCAATGTATCACAAAACAAAAAATAATAGGACAGGATATCTTCCTTCATGCCAGTAGGCGTCCAAGCCACATTCTCTTTACATTTGAGTTTTATAATGGCTATTTTAACAGAAGATAAGTTTATAAGATAAGCTTAACATTGATATGAAAAGCAAACACAGAACGCTCTAAGATCACTTCTGCTTTAAGTAAACAGACACCAGCTTAGAAAATGAGATTTCACCAGCTTGCTCTCTCCCACAAGTATTTTCAGCATTCTTTGAGAATGACTGTTCAGGAGCACAAGCTCCCTCCCTATCAGAAGTGTTCCAGGCACTCCTGCACTGAATGCAAAAGTACTACTTTTCTCAGCTAATTTCTACTGAACAATCTTTATGCAATCCATTTTCAAAACCTAAGTGTCTTGATGAATTGGCATCAGATAAGTAAACATGGATCTTAGGGTTGGCAAAAACACTATCAACTCCTTAGTGCTTTCTAGCCATGCCATGCCTACTGGATTCCCTTCTCACTCCTTGTTTTTAACTTTGTTTGCTGCAGGCCCTCTTTTCTTGGTGTGCAGCACTCCACTTACTAGGCTGTGCAGTATTCATTTAAAGTCAGCCACTGAAACCATGCAATTTTACACTGATCAGCAGCAGTTTACTATGTGCAGCAGTTAAAATGTATTTGTTTTAGCAGGAAAGTGAGAACAGAAAAGATCCAGTAGCCAATGTGTTGATCAGTCCAACTAAGTTCTTTTTGGGAATAGTTTTTGGGCTGCTGCTCTCATCAATGGCTTCTGGGAGAGAACTGTGCAACAGCAGCATTGCTGTACAGAGCAGAAAATATGGATAAGTGAAGAGTTACTCTGTGCCACAGTATTTTTAAAGTATGTATTATTGTCAGCCTCAGAAGAACTGAAAATTGAGACGTGCATTTATATTTAAAAGTAATTCCAGGACATAAATAAAAGAAGCTGAATTTAAATTGCAGAGAGGACTAAAGAAAGGCATTTAAAAAGACAAGCAATGACAAATACCATTGCAGACTTTGGGAAAATATGTTTCGACAAATAGTGCTGACACATATGTAAAGTGAAAAAGCCAGCAGTCACAGCAATGACCAATTTGTCGATGTACAGATGTTACTGCCTACCAGATATCACCTGGGTATATACAGGTGTACAGTACTACATACTACAGACATGGATGGCTTCAGCCTGCAGCTTGTGGGGCAGCAATGCTGGCGGCAACATTTCCAGAGGGAAAGTGTGTGCTGCAGACAGCTAAGAGCAGCAGCTTTCCCAGCAGCTGCTGCCTCCACCCTTCCCATTCCCTTCCAGATGGGAGAGCAGGGTTGCCTTGGCTCTTTCCTTGCTGCTTCCTTGCTAGTCTGTACAGCAGTTCTGTGCTTGAAAGCTCCCTGCCTCTGCCTTTTCCTCTGCTTTAGCCCCACATCCTGGAGATCGTCCAAGTGCAATTTAGAGAGGTACTGCTCATTTTGGAGCCCTGCTGTTTCACTGTCCTATATTCCCATTTTCTCCTCTGGCAGCATTCTAGGTCCCCATAGAATTGCTACATATGGTCTTCCACAGATAAGAGTAGCAGGTGTGTGAAGGGAGATATGCCTTCATCTTTTTTAACAGAGACCAGTAAGTCTCAAAGCTGTTACAGCATAAGAAGACTAAAGTAAGTGCAAAGGACAGGACTCTGCACTGGTGAGGCCACAGCTTGAGTTCTGCATTCAGTTTTGGGTCCCTCACCAAGAAAGATATTGAGGCCTTGGAGTGTGTCTAAAGAAGAGCAACAAAGCTATGAGGGGTCTGGAAGACAAGTCTTACAGGAAAGGGCTGAGGGAACTGGGATTGTTTAGTCTGGACAAGAGGAGGCTCCAGAGAGACCTTATTGTTCTCTACAACTACCTGAAAGGCGGTTGTGGTGAGGGGCTATTTACCTTCTTCTCCCAGGTAACAGTGACAGGATGAAAGGTAATGGCTTTCAGTAGTGCCAGGGGAGGTTCGGTTTGGATATTTGGAAAAACTTCTTTTCTGAAAGAGTGATGGGACACTGGAACAGGCTGCCAAGGAAGGTGAAGTCACCATCCCTGGAGGTATTCAAGAACCGTCTGGATGTGGCACTGAAGGACATGGTCAGTGGGCATGGTGGGGGTGGGTTGGTGGTTGGACTAGATGATCTTAGTGGTCTTTTCCAACTTTAACAATTCCGTGACTTTTTAATAATAAAAAATATCAAAGTAAAAATGAACTAGCGTAAGGTTAAAAAGCTTTAGTAAATCCCCTCTATTAAGAAAAAAGCTCAAACTCACTGCATAATTATATTTTTTTTCTTGAAGATGTAAGGTAGTAAATTAATCCAACAATAATTTATTACTAGAAAACTTAAAATTGCCTCTAATGTATGTGGTTTACATATCCAGACAAAACAGCACATAGCTTTTTCATTCTGAAACACTTCAGGGAAGAAGCCTTACAGCCTTTGGTTCCAGGAAAAAATAAAACAAAACATAAAAACAACTGACAAGTGACTTTGTGTTCTGTTAACCAAGAACAGTCAAGTGGTATTCTGCATTACTTCTGAACAGTTCAGTCGCCCCAGGATGATGATACATCTATTATCAGAATTCAAAGAAATCCATTATTTCCCTCATTTTAGTGTGTGTGTCACAATTACAAACCACTTTTTCTCTGCTGGGTGGGTGGGCTTCAACAGAGTAATACATCTTCATGCAATAAAACACTGAAGTCCATCTGATATCTGTAAGTGTTGCTTGGCTTGGTTGTCTGTTATCTGAGAAGCTGTACTGAATGCAGTCCTTTCAGTTGACTACCCTATTGTAAATCACAGCCTACAGACAGCAATAGCAATAATCCTTTGGGAGATCTAATAATAATAATAACTAAACGTTTAAACTACTGCTAAGTATGGCTTGTATAGCTGCATACGGTTTAAGACCTCTGAGGTCACACATGTTAAAAACAGAACAGCATTTTCTCTGACACTGTAACCTAAAATCAATAATTGGTATATAAAACCTGAAGTGGCAGCAGACTAGATAATAAGTTGGTTTGGGCACTCAGTGTGTTTACTGTTTGCAAACACATTCTCTGGGCATTATCTCCTGCCAGCTGCTTATGAGTGCTGCGCCTGTCACTTGGCTGCAGTATATCTAGCACAGCACTGCAGCCAGCTGCACTAGGTTCATGGGCTATCCAAAGTCTTCTCCAGTGTCCCAAATCTCACATGCAAAAATCACTCTTATCTCAAGTGAAGAAATTGTTTACAAGACACTACCCACATGCTGCATATGCGAACAGTGTCTCTTTTCTCTCTAAGCCTTGGCTCCAAAGCAGAGTTTGCATCAAACAGAGAAGTACCCTGAATGTAGGAACTTAATGTTTCAACACAGATAACACACAAGAAAGTTCTTAATGTAAAAATCTGGAATTCTTCAAGACTGCTTCCTACCTTTTAATGGGAGCAATGAGTAACAGAATGTCTGAATTTTGGCTGTGATCACATCCATGTTCTAAGGGACAGCAATTTTCCTGCACTCTTGATTCACTTCTCCCAGGAAGTCGAAGTCATCACACACACACACACATTGCCTGCATACTGCGTGTCAGCTCACTATGTGCATTGAGAGGACAGAGGGGACAGAATTACTGATCTTTTAATATGCTGCACTGTTGGCCCAAATCCTCTCACGACTTCCAGCTTGGAAGCTGGGTGCTGGTAATCCCTGCATGCTCACAAAAGAGAGGGAAGGAGGGGCCCCATCCCCACAGAAGAGTTTGTCTCTGGTCTGATACCCGCTCAAACAATTAGAGTGGTTAATAGCGTGATGCCTTCAGGCCACTGCTGCTTACAGAGTGTCAAGGAACTTTACAGCATGCACTTCCTCTGCTCTGAGACTACAGCTGCATCCTCACCCGGTGGTTAAGCCAACAAAGAACACAGAATACCCCAAGTTGAAAGGGACCCACAAGGATCAAGTCCAACTCCTGGCTCCACATAGGACCACCCAAAAATCAAACAAACAAACCCCACATTTGAGAGCATTGTCCAGATGCTTCTCAAATTCCGGCAGTGCTGTGACCACTGCCTTGATGCTTTGAGGAGCCTGTTCCATTGTCCAACCACCCTCCAGTGAGGAACTTTTTCCTAACCCAGTGGGGCTGAATATATGCAGGCAGTCTCATGATGGGAGTCTGCCTTCCAGCTTTGGACAAAAATGCTCTCAACTGAAAAAAAAGCTGGCAGCCTCTAGGAGCATCTCTGAGCAGCACTTCTTTCCAGGGAGACAACAGAGGCAGTGTGGGGTCTGATAGTATCAGTAATAAAAAGGAAATGTCAGGACTTTCACCAAGTGCTGAATGTAGAATAGGGTAAATGGATATGCACTGGGATTGCAGAACCAACTGCCCTGTCAGTATAAGGCTATGTCAAAGAGAAAAAATTATAAAATACATAAACTTTATAACATACTATAAAATAAATTTATAAAATACTCTGTGAGTGATTCTTAACTGTCTGAAACACAAATAGGACATTAGGGTGGCTTTATATTTGGAATAGAGAACATAAATAGATCATAACTCACTACTTCACACTGTTCCCTTCTGGAAGGTATGTCATAGACGTAGAGATGTAGAGCCAATGGCTGCCATCATTCTCATGTGCACAAATGAAGCAGAGAGCAGCTCATAGGCACGAGCCTCGTTTTCCTCTCAGACAGCCTTTTGTTACTGAAGCCAATGGCAAAGCACAAGCAGCCAGATATTTGTTATCCTCTGTCTCTTGTACCAGGCTGTGCAAAACACCAGTGCTAAGAAACAAATACGAGCAATTTCCTCCCCTTCCCATGAGCTTTGTAAATTGAGAGTTAGTTATTACTACCCTTCCAATGACACAAGAAATGTTCCATGGAAGTATGCTGGTTTGGCTCTGTGCTTTCATAACCCTTGGGAAACGGCATGTCAAACCCCTGCCTGTTTCAGGGAAATCTCATCTGCAAACAGTTTATTTCAGCAGCTGTCTCCACATTCTTCTAATTTATCTTAGAATGAATTGGAAGCCAAATTCTCCATGTTCTACATGGGCCTTGATGTGTCCTTCTGAAGTACCACACTGGGACAGAGAATGCAAAAGCTATCTTTCCTGCATATTTCCTGGACACAATGGACACGCAGACCACTCTGAAGCCCTGGGGGAGTGACCTCCACAAGGACTGTTTATAGCTTCTAGGAAAAAAAATATATATATAAGCCACATGGATGATTTCTGAAAAAAGCAATGGAACCCTGCTCTTTCACTCTTACCATACACACTTTGTTCACTGCACTTAGCAGTTTCCCAATTCCCTAACCCTTCTATGAATTATGACAACAGAACAAGTGGGGACTGCACTCAACTCTGGTGATTTGGATGCTCACTGGAGAATGGAAAGGTCCTTTAATCCGTTAAGTAGAAGAGACTAAGCCATATCAAAGAGTTGGGGAAGCATCCTCTTCTCTGGGCTATTGGGTAAGGAGACCAGAAACTGCAGCAGCAGCATCCCTGTCCTGACTGTATTGCAAAAAAGGCAATAACCCACAATTGCCTTTTTGCTAAGCTATCTGGAACAACAGTGCAAACACACACAAGTGCTGCATCTGCTGCTGGAAGAGAGACTGTGGGCAAGAGGTTGACACTGAGCTGCTTGGCTCTGTCAAGGCTGACATGTCTCTGGGCACACTCAAAGGCAGGGCTTCAGATGTCAGGGCAATCATCCAGGATTCAGCTATCAGCCGTGTAAGGTTACAGAGCCCTGCAGGTTTGGGCACAACTGAGTAAGCTCAGCCTGCATCCCTTTTGGGGAACTGCTTCTCCTTGAAGCCTTAGGAATGCGCTTTACCAGTTTGGTGGATTTTGACTCAACACCCTGGCCAACTCAAACAGCACATGCTTCTTGTCAGTGAAAGGTTCCCAGTATTGCTACCAGTGCTGGATCAGAAGGGATAAAAGCATGAGTAGCAGAGGAGGGGAAAAAAACAAATCAAGGACAGACAGGGCCCTGATGCTTATCCTAGATCCTTTCCGCCATCAGACCATTAATCCACTACCTCCATGATCTATTTATCAATACATTCTACTTCCTGCTTTTCCAATTTTACATCACAAACTCAAGCCAATACATTTGAGGTCTTTGACATGGTCCTGCACTAAAATTGGAGGGATATGTATTTGAAGGTGGACTATTAGGTTGGATGGTTGTAGCCTGAATGTTGTTGTCACTGGCTTTATGTCCCTGTGAAGTCTGATCATGAATGATGTATCCCAGGCATCTGTTTTTGAACCAGTGCTTTTCAATGTCTTTATCAACCACATAGACACTGGGATTGAGTGTACCCTCAATAAGTTAGCTGATGACACCAAGCTAGGTGGTATAGTTAACACAGTAGAAGGGAGCGACGCTATACACAGAGACTTGGACATGCTCAAAAAGTAGGTACATGGAAATCTAAAGAGGTTTAACAAGGCCAAGCGCAAGGCACTTCACTTGGGTGGAGGCAATCCCAGATACAAGTACAGACTTGGGGAAGAACTCACTGAGAGCAGTTCTGCAGCAGAATGACAACAGTATCCCGGGCTGCATCAAAGAGGGGTGACCAGCAGGGAAAGGGCAGTCATTGTCCCCCTCTTCTTCACTCTCATGAGGTACCATCTGGAGTACTGCGTCAAGTGTGGGACTCCCCGCACAAGAAAGACATGGAGCTGTTGGAAAGTGTCCAGAGGAGGGCCATGAAGATTATCAGAGGGCTGGAACACCTCTCCTACAGAGAATGATTGAGGGAGTTGAGCTTGTTCAGCCAGGAGAAGGCACCAGGGAGACCTCACTGCAGCCTTTCAGTACTTGAAGAGACCTTACAAGCAAGAGGAGAACAGCTTTTTAACAAGGTCTGATAGTGACAGGACAAGGGGGAACGGCTCTAAACTCAAAGAAGGGAAATTCACATTAGATGTTAGGAAGAAATTTTTTACTCAGAAGGTGGTGAGGTACTGGCAGAGGTTGTGGATGC